CAATGGTGGCAAGAGATAGTCACAGTGGAAATTGGTAGATAGATAGACATGGTGGTTACGTGTAAATAGTATTTTTATTTGAATGAGAAATTGAAATTTTTGCGTTTGGTGGGGCGCACCAACTACCCCGGGATGGGTGGTTGGGCGCTTGACATGGTTGCGGTGGATCTCGCCTTGGTGGAAGGCCAAGCCGCATTCTTTTCATCAATCGTGTACTTCTAGGTACCGTTGAAAACGTCCTGAATTCTGTTGCCTATAGCATTCTCCTAGTGGATTTTGCCCTTTTTTATTGTTTCTATTAAACTGGATTGGGCATCACCAGATGAAGATGGATCGAGTAAATACATATCTAGTCCCATGCTATATCTCCTGCTAGCTACAACACAGGGCACAAATTCACATTACTACACCTTGGTGAATTTAAATCCCCCAACAGCCCCCCTGGCAAAAACAAACAAAGTCGACCCAACAATCATAACAACACCACAGAATATCTGCTGTCGAGTATAACCATCATGGAGAATATCTGGCACCAGAGCACCGCCAATAGGCGTACCAGTCAAGGCTGCAAACGAGATGACAGCGAAGAAAGTGCCGTTACGCACGCCCACCTGACGAAGATCGGAGATCTGCGCTACAAGGGCCGGTGCAAGTGAGACAAACGCACCGGAGCCGAAGCCATAGAGGGCGCTGAACACAATTACTGGGATGTTGCCTCTCGACGGTAGCCAGAGGGCGAGGACGAGAAGAGACGAGAAGAACGTTGTTGCAACCATCATGTTGTAGCGGCCAACTTTGTCGGCGAGATAACCTGGAAGGGTGCGTCCGAAGATGCTAAGTGGAAATGGTTAATTCATCAACAAGACCAAGGTGGATGGATTAGAAAGGAGAAGTCAACCACTTACCTAGACGCGTTCAAAATTGGAATCAGATACCCAGCAAGATGGGTAGACATGCCATATCTTTCCGCCTGGGTAATAACAAAAGTGAACGGCAAAAACATACCCCAGAAGAAGCAAAAGGCACCAGCAAGCGTAAGCGCGAACTCACACTCGGCCAACGGCCTTAGGAAATTCAGGATATCAAACGGCTTCGGGCGATGCGGTAATCTTGATTTCAGCGTGAGATTGGCGAGACTCAACATGAACAAGATGAGGAATGCGCAGATTCTCATCGCCCAGGGGAACCCGACTTTGGGAATCAGTTGGGTGACCATGATCGGGAAGATGACTCCACCCAGACTGGATCCAGCGGCTGTTACGCCGAGGGCGAAACCCCGACGCTTAGCGAACCAAGTGCTGACGGAATTGACGGAGGCATTGAAGATGGCGCTTGCGCCGATCGGGCTGCAGATTCCTTGCGCGAGGATGAATTGGTAGTACTTTGTTGAAAGGGAAGCCATCATTAGACCGAAGACGTGGAGGAATGTGCCAGTGAGCAGGATCCAGCGCGGACCGTAGCTGTCGAAGATGGTTCCGAATATTGGACCCTGAGGAGGATGTGAGGATGTGTCTGGGAGGAAATGTCAAGCTGTTCAGGGAGAATGGTCTACGCACGCAGAAGAACATCATGAAGGTCTCTAACGATGTGATCCATGTTACTGTGCTAGTGGAGAACTCGCTCAGTTGGTGAGTTTGGTAGTAATCTTGGAAGACTCCGATGCCTGCATGATGTCAGCATCTTGTTGGGCTCATGCATTCGGACAGAACATGGGACCTTACAGTTGATCCAGCCAAAGCTGACGAATAGACCACAGAAAGCTCCTAGTACGACTCGCCATGCCTGCGCACCTCCATCAGGTGGTGGATCGATCGCCGGTGTTGCTGGTGCTGGCCCAGCAGCACTTGCCTTCTCAGAAAGTGGTTCATCTTTTCCCGATGATCCGAGTCCTTTCTCTGGGTCCCCATTTCCATCCACACTCATAACCGGAATGGTGGTGGCACTATCGACAGAGGGAGCCATCGTTGTCGGCGAGCAAGGTTCGAGTTGTAGACTTGATCTGTTTATCTGCTTTGAGATATTTAGAACTTTGGATTTTGAAATCCGATCACCAATTTATAGATCTCCAAGATCTCCAATAAAGACGGGAAATCTCAAAAATGAAGAAACCAAACTGTGTGTTGGACCAGTTTGATTCTAAACTTCCCTCACTGTCAACCCGTTTGGTCCTGAAGCTTTAGGGTTGTCGATTAAACTTGGGACATGGTGATATTTAAAGGAAAAAAAAAAAATTAAAAAATTAAAAAATCTGTCAAAAAGTGAAGCTGTCATAACCTTGGACAATCGGTTTCTGGCTAAATCCGAGCTGAGAATCCGAGCTGAGAATCCGAGCTGGGAACTGATTTTTAGATAGCAATGGAATGATTCTTTTTACGGTCAATTGTTCTTCGGAAATATCCCCCCCCCTCTTGGACCGTCGGATTTGTCTGCAATGGCCCGGATTTAGCTGATTCTCCCGGGATATTTACCTCTTTGGGAAGATGGGCAAGTTGTTTTTTAAACCTGAAACAACAGATCCGAGTTGAGGTCTGCTTGTGTGTCGCTGTTTGTATTTAGTGACATCGTGGAAATGAAAATAGAACCAGATTCTCAATTCTGTTCGGTTATAAGTTGCGAACCGAATGAAAACCGAATGGAACAAGCCGACCATTCATGGTAGTGATGGATACATCCATCGTGCCTAGACAGACACAGGGAGAGTTCTATTGACGCTTTCTCTTCGAAAAAGAGATCGAAAAAGAAATTCTGCTAGGAAGTAGAACAACACAGTCTTCCTATTCGGAGGTCTAAATAGGAAATGAGGGTCATGTGCATGCATCAACCCCGACCTAAACCTATCAGTCCTTGGGGTTTCTTAAATATGCCACAATACGTATCTCAATCTCACTATTTAGTATTGGCTGTCACATATCACCAAACCGTTCCACGGCGTGACGTAACCGTACCCTTTTCAATGCCCTCTTTATCACACACACACACACACTCTCTCTCTTATATAGAATCCATAGATCAGAAGGGAAGAAAAATGAGATTGATTGGCGATTGCCAAGATAAAAGAAATGCCCATACTGTACAGGATTCAACGTGATAATCATCCCAATTGGAGACCACTCTAGCCCGTACAACACCCAAGGCGAAGAGGACTCCAAGCCGACCCTTTTGAAGCGAGTCGTTCATTTAGTTTGTGCTAGTAACTTCCTCAATTTTGACCTTTCCATCTTTGCGAACCGTCGCAACGCTTTGGCTCGTTCCTTGGATTTCCTGCTCGAGTTCCGCGACAGAGCGCGTCAGGCCAGCGATATTGCTAACGGCCTTTTCGGCTTCTGTCTTGTCGGCTTCTGGCTTCTCGTCTAATGTCTTTGCATCTTCGATAGACCGAGGGGCAGGCGAGGTAAAGCCACTAGGAGCATTGGCAATCTCATTAACTTCCTGTGCGGACAAGACATCGTTGATACGAGGACCGCGGGATTGAACGAGGATCGTCGTGGGACCATCAAACTGCAAGAAGAGCTAGATGACATGGTTAGCTGGCTACTATGAAAGGGCTCAAAGAGGCTACCATACTCGATCTCCCCAGATGGTCATTCGAGACCAGGTGCGCAGCTTGTGGAACCACTGCATAGTGGACTTGTATGCTTTGGAATCAGACACATCACGAACGAACTTGGCATTTTGGAGAAGTCTTGGTAGTGTCTTCAGACCTGGGACCTGGAAGGTGAGCGTGGTGGATTTGAAACGGTAGGGCTGAGGCGGGTTGGAGGCCATGGTGTAAGCAACCACGTTGCTGTCGATCGAATGTTAGCGACGTCAGACGCGCAATCGCAGAGGGGTCATACCTGGGATGCGCGATGTATTGCTCGCCATCCTTCAATTCAACCGAGTACAACTGTCCATTTCCAACCAACGCGATTAAACCTCTGCCAGTCACCTCGGAGCTGCCCCAATGGGACAAACTCTGCGTAAATTAGCTTGATGTTTCCCTTCATGCAATTGCAGCTCCACTCACCAGGTTTGTGTTGATCGTCGGCTTGATGGTCAGTGATCGGCCCGTCCATGCAAGCAGAGCCCGTTTTTGGGCAACCATCCAGTCAACGGAACCATTGACGTCCACGACGGCGAAGGAGGTATTGGGAGATCGAACGGAAACGAGAGCTGTGACAGGGGTTGGTGAAGAGACCTAGTGAATTGTCAATCGCTGTCTAGAGGTCCTGATCTGCATCGCGCGTCTTACCTTTTGATAAAGGAACGGCACTCCTACAACAGCCCTCCGGAAAGGTTCTAGAACACTCAAGGTGGAAATAACCTGCGCAGAGAATGCGTTAGCGTGATAATTCCTACAGGAGAACATAATGGCGAGGACGCATACGTTATCCGCCTTGCCACTTAATCCAACCAGTGTTCCGCGTCGTGTGTATAGGTTCTGCGAGGCCGAGAGCGAAACGGAAAGAAGCGAGTATGGGGCGCCGACCACATCGAATCGCGCATCTAATTGTCCTCGCTATCAGTACCACAATTAAAAGGCCTCGGAGGAATTGCTTTTACCTCGTGATTCAACAGAGCTCGGCGTGCTAGCGAGTGGCAGAATATCGCCATGAACGGGAGACACTCCCGAGGGCGCGGCGCGAATTTGAACCCATCGCGTTTGCCGGTGAACGCGAGGAACAACTCGAGTCCATGACAGAGGCCGGACACCTTGGAAGGGGCGCATGGTGTTTGAAACAAGAGCAGCGACCAAGTGCCGAAAGGAGAATTTACGTCAGTTGTGACGAAAGGGAAATCGGGAAATCGTGGGCCCGAGAGCGATGCGGCCGACGAAGTACACAACTCGACCTAGGAATTGCGACATTTGGGGTTTCATTATAAGAGGTTTCTGAGTTACTTTTCCTTTTAATTCTGCATCTCATTGTTCCCTTGGCTATTTGCGACCACCCCAGAAATTGCATCAAGATCGTCGGGTTTAATTCCGAAGCCGGCTATCCCCCCCGCGAGCTATCGGAGACACAGCTACCTTGTGCGCCAGTCTTTCTTACTCACTCCCAATATGTGCCCCTGAACCTCTTGTGGTGACTCGTACTACTCCGGAGCTCAGAGGTTATAATTCGAAGCGGCCATGCTGCTCAGAGCCGCACGATCGCCGTGCTGGCGCACAGCGCAATTCGCTCATCCAAGCCTCACTGGCCACCTACGAAGCACACGACTCAATGGAACACACCTACGTACGTTCACATCAAGTAACAATTCATTATGGAGTCAGTCCACAGACAAAAAAGAACCTGCATCTGTCAAAGCTACTCCTACCTCTACTCCCGCACCATCACAACTAGCCAATGCCAACATCATCCCAAAGCCGGAAGACAGCGGCAATGCGAAGATTCCACCAAAGAAGGACTTGCTGAGCGAGTCCATGGCTGGAAAAAATGAACAAAGGGAGGCAGACTGGGCTATTATGAAAGAAATGGCCAAGTATCTGTGGCCGAAGGTAATCCCCAAGTGCTGTCTGTATAGAGTAACGGGGTGTTAACTATAGCTGGTAGAATGATTGGGGCACAAAGCTTCGTGTCAGCACGGCACTTTCATTGCTTATTGGAGGAAAGGCAAGTCTCATTTATAACTGTGTTGATGTTAAGACTATGCTAATATGAGCCCAAATACAGATCCTCAATGTGGAGATCCCCTTCTACTTCAAGAACATTGTCGACTCCATGAATGTAGACTTTGCTACCCTCGGCGGAACTGCCTACACAGTGGCTGGATCCATGATCATTGCTTGTAAGGATGGCAACATGTCGAAGAAGGCTCTTGTAGCTAATGTGTTTTAGATGGCGTGACTCGAATTGGAGCCACATTATTTCAAGAGCTACGTAACGCGGTGTTTGCCAGCGTTGCGCAGAAGGCAATTCGGAAGGTGGCGTCAAATGTTTTCGACCATCTGTTACAACTGGATCTCAACTTCCACCTCTCTCGGCAGACTGGAGGTCTGACCCGCGCACTTGACCGCGGTACTAAGGGCATCAGCTTCCTCCTAACCTCCATGGTTTTCCATGTGGTTCCGACCGCACTCGAAATCTCGCTTGTCTGCGGTATTCTGGTATGTTTGGCAGAGAGCGACAACGGAAAATCTTGTTCCTACATGACTGACGAGTTAATAGACCTACCAGTATGGCCTTCAATTTGCTGCCATCACTACAGCAACAATGATAGCTTACACGGCGTTCACCATCACTACAACCGCATGGCGAACAAAGTTCCGGAGACAGGCCAATGCAGCTGATAATCTCGGAGCAACCGTTGCTGTGGACTCGCTTATTAACTACGAGGCTGTCAAGTACTTTAATAACGAGAAGTTCGAAGTGGCACGATATGACAAGGCCTTGAAGAAGTATGAAGACGCATCAATCAAGGTGACTACGTCTCTGGCATTCCTCAACTCTGGTCAGAACATGATCTTCTCTTCTGCGCTGGCCGCAATGATGTACCTAGCTTGCAATGGAGTGGCGAACGGATCCATGACCGTCGGTGACCTAGTCATGGTCAACCAGCTGGTCTTCCAGCTCTCCGTCCCCCTCAACTTCTTGGGATCAGTCTACCGGGAGCTGCGCCAGTCCCTGCTGGACATGGAGACGCTTTTCAACCTGCAGAAGGTGAACGTCACCATCCAGGAACGACCCAACGCCAAGCCGCTGCAGCTGACGCACGGTGGCGAGATCCGCTTCGAGAACGTCACTTTCGGCTACCACCCAGACCGACCGATTCTGAAGAATGCCACCTTCACCATCCCCGCGGGACAGAAGTTCGCCATTGTCGGCCCTAGCGGCTGCGGCAAGTCTACTATCTTACGTCTGCTGTTCCGCTTCTATGACGTCCAGTCCGGCCGCATCTTGATTGATGGCCAGGACATCCGCAATGTGACCGTCGACAGCCTCCGTAAGATAATTGGAGTAGTGCCGCAGGACACCCCGCTGTTCAACGACACGATTGCCCACAACATCCGCTATGGACGGATTGATGCATCGGACGAAGAAGTGCGCCGAGCTGCAGAGCGAGCCCACATCCACAAGCTCATTGAGGGTCTGCCTGATGGCTACCAAACTGCAGTTGGTGAGCGTGGGATGATGATCTCTGGTGGTGAGAAGCAGCGGCTGGCAGTTTCTCGATTGATCCTGAAGGATCCACAATTATTGTTCTTCGATGAGGCAGTAAGTTGATCCCATCACTTCGTCTGCTAGCCGCAGAGTTGAGGATTAAGACAACTAACCATCCTGTTTTTAGACATCTGCGCTAGACACCTACACGGAGCAGGCGCTCCTGCAGAACATTCACAGCATTCTTAAGGATAAGAGCCGCACAAGCGTATTTGTGGCTCATCGTCTACGTACGATCTGCGACAGTGACCAAATTCTGGTCCTGAAGGATGGTCGTGTGGCAGAGATGGGTTCACACCGCGAGTTGCTTGAGCGTGACGGTACCTATGCAGAGCTTTGGAAAAGTAAGTCTCTTCTTCCTCGCAGTCTGCAATCCTTGCTAACTCGATTTCAGCCCAGGAACAGTCGATAGCCCAAGACCTCGACCTCGTCCAGGACATTGACCTGGACCAGAGCCAGGAGGAGGATGTCCAGCCTAAGACGTGAGATTGAGAGTCTGCACTGCAGATGACCATCCAAGATCTAAGTGTTAGGCTACTTTATGTCGGACTGTAGGGTTACTAGCACATATCATCCCAAGGGGAACAGCCATATGCATGTCTCAGGAACTCTTTGATTGCTACGGGTAGCACTTTCTTTGTTAGTGGATGATATTAGGATGAGACACAAAAGAAACCGGAAAGAATTTCTCTAGAGATTTCACGAGTTGCTACCCTCAAGGGACATACACCATAGGTGCCAACCCATCCTTGGGCTGATGTTTGCCTTGAGCAACACGCCGGTTGTGAACGACATAAATGACAATCTGCGTCAAGGCACTCGCGATTCCTACAGATACCATGATGATCATGGTACGTAGGCCTGTTGAATAACTTGTTGATCTTAGCAGCTGTTGGAACAAAGAATTTCAGAGAATGGCTTAACTTACAATGGTTTATCACCCACTTGGAAATACTGTGTCCCAACCATCAAACCACTGATTGCAGACATAACCCACATCCTGCAGTCCAGAACCCCATCAGCTCCAGTCACTGTGAACGTCAGAATATAGAAAAACTCACGCAATGCTGATACTCCGCTCCCCCGGATCTCGACAGTTGATCTGAACCCAGAAGTTATGTATGGGGTGATATCCCACAGCCAAACTATTCACAGCGGTCCAAAGTCCCCAGCGTGACCATTTACCAGCATGGGGCTGGACCTTGAGATTGACTATCAGGGCAATGAGGTAGCAGGCTTGAGCAGCAACCACAGATGCACCTCTGAGATTAGTTCGATCGCTCATGTAGGCGAAGAAAAACACAACTCCGAGTGACAGGAATGCGCCGACTGCGGCTAGAGCGTTTGCTGCCGTTCTGTCAAAGCCGAGTGACCTGTAGCAATTTGGATGAGATCGATCTATCTATCGGGAACATTGAATCCTTACATGATGATAGTTGGCGTGTAAGTGGTTAGAGGACTCCATGTTGAAAACACGACGAAGGTAGAAATGAAGTGTGGCCAGCGACGATAGCAAGCCACAGTGCGGAAGACAACTTTCAACGGAATGTGCACGCCATATGCGCCCTCTGCACTTCCGCCAGTGTCTTGTTCGAGTCGTTTTTGAAGGATTTCTTTCTCGGAGTCGGAAAACTTGATAATTCCCGGGCTTAATAGTGGCCTGGTCAGATCGGGTGATCCAGGGAGGAGTAGAGACAGGAGGAATGAGACGAATATCGTGAATAGCCCCTCAACTGTTGATGCATTAGCGAATGAGGGTCTTGTGGTTTGTAGTATGCATACTGAGGAAGAGCCACCGCCATCCTCGAAGACCGTGTCGGCCATCTAATTTCAGGATACCAGAGGCCAGGATAGGACTCAAGGCATTGCCCCCAAACATTCCAAAGAAGAAAATGGCAACTCTCTTGGCCAATTCCCTTTTCGTATACCACGATGATAAAGTGTAAACGGCACCGGGGATATACCCAGCCTCGGCGAACCCTAGAAGCAGCCGGACAGCTAGGAATGAACCTCGATTGCGAACAAAGACTTGCATCGTAGCGAGTAAACCGAAGAAAAAAACCTGGGCCGAAATCCACTTGCGAGGACCAACCTGTCAAGGTTCGGGTTAGGATCAGACCTTCCAGCGAGGTGATGATGTACCCACCCGTTGCAAGGCCATGTTACATGGTATCTCAAAGACCACGATGCCCATAAACATAAGCTGATTCCCCAAATTGACTGTTGATTGTGAGATTTTGATATCCGCGGCGAAGCCGCCCGTCAATGCACTCGCAATATTCATGCGATCTAGCTGGAAAACAAGAAGACCGAGAAAAAGCAGAGGCAAAACCGTCATATCGATCCTTGAGAGAAAGTCAGGTCAGCAATGAATCCTAGATACTCTTTCTTGGGATTCTCGGTGGTTACTTTCTGCGAGCCTTTTGCTCCTGGCTAGGATCCCATTCTGGCAATTGGCCCAGCGTTGAAGCTGAATGCCCCAAGTCGCTAGCCTTGAGATCTAGCTTCTCATCGGTCATTGTGACATCCATGATAGATCATTCCCCCGAGGGAGATTGGTAAAAAGGGACCTTGTTTAAATCTTACAGTATGAAAGGTAATGATAGTAGAAATCCGAGGAACATCGCAAGTATCAAATGCGAAGTATCAATTATAGACCTCCCTCAGTCTTCAGATATTTTTTTTTTAAACTTCATTCGCTAGTACCATAACTTCCAATATGGCGTGCTACGAGGAATTTCTTGGACCTCGCGCCAAATTCCAAATGCTATATAATCTTCTTCCAACCCGTCGAAGTTCGGGATTTGAAGGGGTTTGACCCGAATGGGGAAGGTGAGGTCTTTTGGATCGAGATCGCCCCACGCCAAATTGCGTGATAGGGCCCATAATCAACGACACGGCATTTGCGACATCTGGTTTATATCATTGCATCTCAGGATGATTCTATAACTGTTGTAGTTTGGTTGAGATTTGGGTTGGGACTTCTCTTCGATCATGGCTGTCAAACGTGTCGCGGTCATTGGTGCTGGGCCGGCGGGAGCCATTGCCATAGATGCTTTGGCGCAAGAGCAGGCCTTTGACATCATTCGTGTATTTGAGCGCCGGGAGGGAGCTGGAGGATGTTGGTCTGTTCCTTTTTTTTTTCGGAAGCTTCTTCGGTGACTAACACGATATCACAGGATTGGCGACTCATCGCAGCCTCCGACGCTCCGCGACTTTGTATCTCTAGCGACAAGAACAGCCGATCCACCGCTACCTGTCCCTGAAAAGCTGCCTGCGCAGACTCCAAAGTCAGACCAACCTCGTTTTACCGAGTCGTCTGTTTACCCTTATTTGGAAACCAATGTTGACTATTTGCCCATGCAGTTCTCCCAGGAACCTTTCCCAGCGGAGCGTAGCAAACTCTCTATATCTCACCATGGACCTGAGACTCCATTTCGAAAGTGGGACGTAGTTCGAAAATACATTGAGGGTCTTGTGGATCGCCGGGGCTACGGCGACTTTGTTGCATACAATACCACAGTCGAACTGGTCGAGAAGGTGGGGACGGAGTGGAAAGTAATGCTCCGCAAAAATGGCGACAAGAGTGACTACTGGTGGGTTGAGTGGTTTGATGCGGTTGTTGTGGCGAGTGGTCACTTCTGGGTGCCTTATATACCCCAAATAGAAGGCTTGGAGGCAATGGAGAAGACCAGACCGGGGAGCGTGATTCACAGCAAACACTTCCGCGGGAGAGAGAAGTTTGTCGACAAGGCAAGTAAGATTCTCAGATACAAGCATATTCCCCCAGGGCTATTATGCTGACATGACAATTCCAGCGAGTTGTGGTTGTGGGCGCATCCGTCTCAGCAGCCGACATCGCAGTCGATCTTGTGGAAACGGCAAAGGCACCAGTCCACGCAATTACAATTGGCCATGCGCCCAACGGGTACTTTGGCGACGAGGCGTTTAACCACCCGAAGATACAAAAACATCCATCAATAGAACGAGTCTCGAACCGAACTGTGCACTTGACGAACGGAAATTGTATCGACAACGTTGACCACATAGTCTTCGGCACAGGTTACAGCTGGACGCTGCCATTCCTACCGTCCGTTCCAGTCCACAATAACCGCATCCCTGGTTTGTACCAACACGTTGTGTGGCAAGAAGACCCGACACTATTGTTTATCGGCGCCGTCGCGGCTGGTCTGACCTTCAAGGTCTTTGAATGGCAATCGGTTTTAGCTGCACGGCTACTGGCCGGTCGAGCCACTCTACCGTCTGCTGAAGCGATGCAAAAATGGGAAGCGGATCGGATCAAGGTTCGGGGTGACGGCGTGAAGTTTACACTGCTCTTCCCAGACTTCGAAGACTACTTTGAGACGCTGAGACACCTAGCCGGAGAGGGAGTAGAGGGAAAGGGACGCAAGCTGCCCAAGTTTTGCCGCGAGTGGGTAAGGGCATTTTTGGAGGGATTTGAACGCCGTAAGGCGATGTGGAAGAGATTGAACACGAATTCTCGGGCTTTGTTGAATACGGAGACTACTCAACAGGAAATAGCTCGGCTTTGAGCCCAATCAAGTGAAGTTCGGATTCTTTCAACTCGCAGCAGCTTTCCGTCTTCAACGTGTGAGTCCTTTTGGTGAGAATCTAGATGCCTCTTCACGGGACAGGGGTAAGCAAGTGGGTATTTTGACACCTAACATGAATCGGCTTGAGATGAAGACAAGCCACGGTAGATAGAAAAGTACCTTTCTTGATACAAACCACGTGTGGATCGGCACCACTAGACTCTACTTGCTTCTCATAAAGTCATAGTCATTTCGAAGAAGTTCTTGCACCAAGTAGGTGTTGCGACTGAAGATCAGACCGGTTGAATCTGTATATAGATGGTAGGACTAAACAAGCAAAACATAGTTGATAGGCGTGACTGTACTATATATAGCAAGCGCTCTTGAAGTGCATCCCTTGGCATGAGTAGAGCGAAAGAAAGCGGTTAGTGAAACCCGGAGAGAACCTTGGATTTAGAAATGTGGTGAATCTAGTAATTCAAGAGGTCTTAGAAAAAAAAAACAAAGCGTTCATTGAAACCCTGGATCAGGACCATTGTCGATGGGGCCTCAAGCGCGCTTTACATGCAGCCACTGAAACCGACCCACTCTGAGATTTCCTCCTACCAGCGGCAGCGTAGTGGATTTGAGTCGCGAGATCTGGGGGTTTTTGGGATCCACATGACCCGGAGAGTCAAACTTACATAATCTGGCTATTAGTAACCAAGACTTGGGCCATATTTTGTTGCCTGACCTGCTTCAACCTCTTTTGATATATGTAACTTTCCAACAGGACAACAATGCATCTAAGATGTGCTTCCTTAACGGACATGGATTCCTCCAAAATCCATATTATCAGGGAGATTACGCACTCTGATACGTCTTCAATATTCGAGGCAGATCTGGATGGACAAAAGTATGCTTTGAAGGTTTTCCACGACAACGGCGACCCTGGATATAGCGAAAAAGGTCGTGATTTAAACCGGTTCCGCTGCGAACTCAATGCATATAAGAAGCTTTTCGCCTCTGGTGTTTGTGCACGCAGTTTCGTTCCAAAATTCTACGGCTACATCAATCGAATGGACCCCGCAGCATTCCATCCTACTTTCCAACATTTCTCTCAAGACAAGCTCAAGCCGAGAGCAATATTGCTAGAGTACCTCCCAAATGCAGAGAGTTTCAACTGCATTAACTACTCGGATCCGCTCTATCCTCAGGCAATTGAGGGCATGAAGGAGATACATAGGGCGGGCGTTCACCACAAAGACATCTACCCGAGAAATCTTCTCCTTGTTCGTGGAGACCCTGATAGGCTGGTCTGGATTGACTTTGATGTTGCAACGACCTTCACCGACTTTGGACCTGAACAGCTGGCCCGCTGTGACTACGAAATTGCGCTGGTGAAGGGGTTTGGAGAAGCACTGGCAAGGACTCTGCTGCTCCCTAGGTTGGAAGCAGTTAAGCGTGCTGACTGACGAATGCAGAGAGATGACCAGGCTGAGGGACTCCCTCCTAATACAAAATTTTATTAAGGGTTCTATAGGCTTGCGAATATTCCGGCAACGTTTGATCGCGTTCAGATATGCGTTTTTGTAATAGATGAGTTGGGCAGAGCTCTGACTGTGGGCTATATCCCTTAGAGCGGCGATATGATGAGGAGTCTAATTCTCAGCACTTCCATTATATATATGTAGCAGCAGCCTAAAGTGTGGTTGAAAACAGGGTACTAAAAACCCGGGAAATACTCGGACCGCCATGATGACGCGCGCATACAATTTACAATTACACAGTTTGTTGTAAATTTATTCAGCATTGTTCGCACAGATTGGAAATAGAACGTCATTGATCATACCAACCTATATTTATATCGTAAAGGTCAACCCCGTCTAGCTTCGCCAATTCACCAAGTTCTAGTTTAAAGCGATGAAGTACCTTTGTAAAAAAAACATGGCAGCAAAGAGGAAGTAGCCCCATGCGCACAAGAGCCTAAAAGAATTTCCCTCTGGCTATTCCAATGTTAATTCCCACACTCAATGTTTTCCTTTCACAACGCGGACGTAGTCACATTCTGGTCAAATTTCCCGCCAACGCAGAGAAACTACTAGTCCGGGTCAGATCCAACAATTCTGGTCTGTCTTCTTGAAGGAACAACTTGTGTATAGGGATCAAATTTTAGGGGGAAAAAAGCAAAGGCAGAAACCAACAAAAAACCTCTAAGAAAATACATTTCGCCTCATCCATGTTCGTGAAGGCCATCTAAGGTTCATGGAAAGACCCCGGTCCGACTGCAGCTTGGAAACCAGGAACAACATCAAAGATTATTACACATCTTGCGTGGGTGGCACATCAGTTTCGTTTGCATCTGCTTCCGCCAATTTCTTGGATTGGAATTTATCGGCAGAGTGAGCTGATATCCGGGTGAGTTCGGTGACGAAGGATTGGCCCCAGAATGCGCTAGAAAATGGTCAGCTGGAAACGAAATGTGAGAGAAGGGACTGCCTAGTTGGCGGAGTGACACGGTAACGTACCTGGTGTACTTGGACACGTATCTGTCCAACTTAGCAAAATTGAGAGCCCTATGTTCGTCGCTCATGGTCACCGCTTCTTGGTAGGCGCCAGCCAGTTCTTCAGTGTTCCAGGGGTTCACAATGATACTGCCGTTCAAACTCTGGGCTGCTCCGGCGAATTCAGAGAGCACCAACACTCCATGACGCTTCTGCTGGGTGGCGATATACTCGTAGGCCACCAAGTTCATGCCGTCACGGGTAGATGAGACAATGCAGGCATCTGATACGGCATAGAGAGCGATGAGTTCGTCGAAGTTGACGGACTTGTGTAGGAAGTGGATAGGCTGGAACTCGACCGTGCCTTGAAAGACGATTAGCTTGACTCAGAGCACCAATCAAGGATACTAACCGAACTTTCCATTGATCCGACCAACTAGCTCGTTCACCACGGCCCTCAAATTCTGGTACTCCTCGACGTCCTGTCGACTGGGAACGGCAACTTGTACAAGCACGACCTTCCCAACCCATTCGGGGTGGTCGCTAAGGAAGACTTCAAGGGCGTGCAACTTCTGGGGCACGCCCTTGATGTAATCAAGACGGTCGACGCCGACCATCAGCTTCACACCCTGGAACTTCTGCTCTAGCATGGCAATGCGCTTCTGGACCTTCTCCTTCTTCAACCCTTCCTTGAACTTCTCAGGGTCAATACCAATGGGGAAAGCTCCGCATGTGATGATCTTGCCCTGGAACTCAATGCCGTTGGGTGTAGTTGCAAGACCCCTGATCCAATTAGATTCAAACTCCAGACTGGTTAGGGTATACTAACAGTAGACGCGCACAACTGCTCAGGAAATGGCGCGTGTAATCATAAGTGTGGAAGCCAATCAGGTCGCAATGCAGGACACCCAAAAGTAATTCATTCCGCACGGGGAGAATTCGGTAGATTTCACTACTAGGGAACGGTGTATGTAAAAAGAAACCGATCTTCACGTTCTTCTTGCTATCGCCGATCTCCTCGCGCAGCATCTCAGGAAGTAGCATCAGGTGGTAGTCGTGAACCCATATCAGGTCGCCATCCTGTACTTCCTTCGCAATCGCCTGTGCAAAAAGTCGGTTCGCTTCCTTGTAAGCTTCCCAGGCGGACTCGTCGAAGGTGATCTCGCCGGGGTGGTAATGGAACAGAGGCCAGAGGATGGAGTCTATCCGAAAGAACAAGACATCAGTGTATGTTCCAGTGGCTTCGCGGGGAGGAGAAACTGACTAGAAAACCCATTGTAGTGTCTATCTGCCAGGTCGTCATCAATGAAGACGGGTACAGCGCCGTATTCTTCCTTGAGGCGCTGCTTCACGACAGGGATCTCAGGCTCTGGCACCTCCAGACCGGGCCAGCCGTACCACTGAAAGGTAGTTGATTTGGACAGGCCGCTTAGACCACTGACCAGACCTCCTGAGGACATAGAAAAATCGTATTTTCCATCATCAGACCGCTTGATTGTGATCGGCAGCCGGTTCGAGACCAGAAGCAGACGAGCTTCATTCTTGGGCTCGACGGAAGGCATAGCGATAGACCGGACGTTAGACAGAAATAGGGGATGAAAGTAGATCGGAATTAAAGGGCTCTAGGTGTGGACAAGGTAAGCTGGGCCTCTGTAGCTCCGAGATAGGATGCGGTTAGAGTCAATCTCGTAGGCGGGGAAACCCTTGGAGATCATGACGAAGATGAACCAACCTTTGAAACAAGTGGATATTTCACTCCGGATGAGCACCAGAATATTAGTCTGTCTCCATAGGCAGATAACTGCTAGTAATACCAAAAGAGGCAGTCGAGTGTGAAGGGAAAAAAAGGGTGAAGAGTGAGAGTAGAGCGGGGAACCGGGATGCGAACGTCACTCTTGGAATTCCTGGAACTCTACGTGTGGGCCTCAATATCGCTCAAATGGGGGACTGTAGGAAAAACATTTTAAAAAGGAGATTTCTATGATTTCCATGCAATTTGGATTCAAAAAGGGAGATTTTTCCAGATCTTTTCTAGGTTGACAGGTTTTGATGATCATTCTGACTCCGCATTGGGCTCGTAATACATGGTCTGTCAGAATGATGAGTGACAGAGCGCCGACGTCGAATGTTATTTTAAGATGAAGAGATGGTTTAAATGCATAGACCCCTGTAATCGACATTTCTACATTTACCCAAAGATCTATAAACTCACAAAGCCGACCTCTCGCTCGCAAGACTCCATTTCCCCGAGTCCAAATCAACAACCGTCCTCCCCTCATCCTCAAGCTTCAACAGCACCTGCAACACACCATGCGAAGCAGGTTTATGCAGAGACTCCGGAACATCACTGTAAATGCGCTTGACCAACTCAATAGGAGTCCAGGCCTGCTTGCGCTCCGGCCAGGACTCACCAGCCGCGACATCAAGCTTGCCAAAATGCAGCACGCGCAGGACCTCATCTTCCCGCTGATGTCGGTGCGTGATATACTCAGTAATTCGCACGCCGGCGTTCTCAATCACCGCTCCGTGTCCGGGGTACCCACGGCCCGAGGAAACACGGTCGCGCATACGGCGGAGACTGCTGAGGTAGGGTTTAAGGGTTTCAAAGACAGCTGTGCCGTGACCTAGGACGTCTATAGGTTTTTAGTTAGCCAAATTTCTTGTGGATCTTGCATATCATGTTGTTGTGTCTGTGAAGAGGAAGGCTTGGATGAAAAGAACTGTTACACTCACTATCACCTGTAAACATAGCATTCTCCTCTTCGAGCATAAACACCATATGATCAACGGTATGTCCAGGTGTATGCACTGCTGTCAAGGTAGCACCTTCAACGGAGAATACCTGACCCTCCTGGATATCTGCCTGATTGGAATCAGGCTGGTGTTTGAAGATCTGAGCCTCGGGACAGAGTTTGAGCAGATCTGGCAATCCGCCAACATGGTCGGGGTGCCAGTGTGTCAGGAGAGCCTGGTGCACTGTTGCTTTTTCTGCTGAGAGCACAGATTGAAGGTTTGCTGCCCATGCGGGCTTGCCTTCGCCTGTGTCTATTAAGATTCGCTGGTGGCCGTGGCCTATTAAATATGTGTTTGTACCTGGGTATGGGGTCAAGGTGTGTTCGTAGTTCGGAAGGAGCATGATGCTTACCTTGGAGTGTGAACTGTGTATCGTTAAACGCTATTGATCAACTTGTCGTGATGAGGTGACATCATAATATCCATCACTCACCTTCCCCGGATTTCCACCTAAAATTCTCACGACTGACGCGCTGAGGCGCTCCACTTCTGGGAGTTGGACAAGCTGAGTTGCCATGTTTCGAGATAGGGTGGGGATAGCAGATAGAGGGAGAACCTCAAGAACCTGGATGTATTTCTGGGTTCAAGAGTGCAAATTTATGGTCAACTGATTATTGACTTCACAATCAAGATGTAATAGGGATTTAGGCCTCTTTGATGCGGATAGGTGGTTCGCAATGGGATGGATGTAGTGATAAACTTGAAAAGATACCGAAGCGCCAAACTTGCCGAACCCTTTGACGAAAAACGAAGATTTGATAGCGTCCAACACCATCTTATGCTGAAGTCCAATGAACGCGGGGCATTTAGTGTTCACGGGTGCCTCGGTAAGCTTATCTCAGCTTTGAACGTGTCCGAGCTGTATTGCGTTTTTCTGTGAGATGATCACGGTATGTCTATTGCGCTGGATAAAATGAATGGTTGGAACACTGTGCATAAATCTAAGACCTACAAAAGGAACAATCCGGAAACAAAAGAAAATTGTGTATGCATGCCATTCCTAACATACAAAACAGTGATGTCAAAGTCAAAAAGAGTATATATCCATTGAGCCCACCCAGATATCGGGAATCAACGCAAGGCCGAGAAATCAGGCCTACAAAAACACAAGTTCATTCATAATTTTTTCCCAGAGCACGACTACTCATAGCCTGCTCACGAAAGGGACATGGGCAATCGAGAACCAATCCAATGGCTGCCGTGTCACACCGTAGTTTTCAGAAGCATGCATCTGAATTGTTCAACACACAAGAGAGCGTAGTTTACACAAGCGTCTCAGTCATAACCGAAACACTTGGAGGGTTTATTGTTGGAGAGTCATGACAGACGGAAGGCAGCTTAAGCCTTACGGGCCATAGTGTTGAGGGCAGAACCGTCGTGGAACCACTCAATCTGGGACTCGTTGAAAGTGTGGCTGAGGGAGATGTCAAAGGCGGCGCCACCGTCCTTGGGGTGGACACGGAGGGTCATGGGCTTGCCAACAGCGAGCTCAGTGCAGAGAAGATCGACCTTGTCCTCAGGGTTGATCTTGTCGTAGTCGGCAGGATCGCTGAAGGTCAGAGGAAGCATACCCTGCTTCTTCAGGTTGGTCTCGTGGATACGAGCGAAGGAGCGGGTGATGATAGCGAGACCACCAAGGTGACGGGGCTCGAGAGCGGCGTGCTCACGGGAAGAGCCCTCACCGTAGTTCCAGTCACCAATAACAACCCACTTGACACCACGAGCCTTGTAGTCACGGGCGGTGGCGGGGACGGCATCGTACTCCTTGGTGAAGTAGTTCTTGACCTTGTTGGCCTCGCCGTTCTCCTCGTTGGTGGCACCGATCAACATGTTGTTGGAGATGTTGTCCAAGTGTCCACGGTACTTCAACCAAGGGCCAGCCATGGAGATGTGGTCAGTGGTGGTCTTGCCCTTGCACTTGATCAGAATGGGGATGTCGGTGGCATCTTTGCCATCCCAGGCCTGGAAGCCAGCGAGGATCTGGAGACGATCGGAGGTGGGGGAGACAGCAACGGTGACCGCAGAACGATCAGCGGGAGGAGCCTGGTAAGTGTCACGGCCAGCATCGTAGCCACGAGTGGGGAGACCGTCTCCTGAGGGGGCCTTGAGCTTGAACTCCTTGCCATCCTTGTCCTTAAGAGTGTCGGTGAGGGGGTTGAAGTTGAGAGTACCGGCAACGGTCATGGCGACGACCAGATCGGGAGAGGCAACGAACGCATGGGTAGCGGGGTTGGCGTCGTTACGGCCAGTGAAGTTACGGTTGTAGGAGGAGATGATGGAGTTGGCCTCACCCTTCTTCACGTCCTTGCGATCCCACTGACCAATGCAGGGTCCACAGGCATTAGCAAGGATGACACCGCCATACTCCTCGAGGGTCTGGAGCTGACCGTCACGCTCAATGGTGGCGCGAATCTGCTCGGAACCAGGGGTGATTGTGAACAGAGACTTGGACTTGAGACCGTGATCAAGGGCGTCACGGGCAATAGAAGCAGCGCGGGACATATCCTCATAGGAGGAGTTGGTGCAAGAGCCGATCAGACCGACCTTGAGCTCCTCGGGCCAATTGTTGGTCTTAACAGCCTCCTTGAACTGGGAGATGGGGGTAGCAAGATCGGGAGTGAAGGGACCGTTGATGTGGGGCTCGAGCTCATCAAGGTTGATTTCAACGAGCTGATCGTACTGAGCACCCTCATCCTCACGCAGAGAAGCAGCGTACTCGCGAGAGAAATCACCAATGTGCTGACGCTTGGTGGCCTTCAGGTAGTCGTACATGCGGTCGTTGAAGGGGAAGATGGAAGTGGTAGCACCAATCTCGGCACCCATGTTACAGATGGTAGCCATACCAGTGCAAGACAGAGATTCAACACCAGGACCGTGGTACTCAATGATAGCACCAGTACCACCCTTGACGGTGAGGAGACCGGCGACCTTAAGGATGATATCCTTGGGGGTGGTCCAGCCGGACATCTTACCAGTGAGACGGACACCAATGACATTAGGAGCCTTAAGCTCCCAAGGCAGACCAGCCATGACATCGACAGCATCGGCACCACCGACACCAATAGCGGCGGTAGCAAGACCACCAGCATTGGGGGTGTGGGAGTCAGTACCGATGATCAGACCACCGGGGAAAGCGTAGTTCTCAAGGACGATCTGGTGGATGATACCGGAACCGGGCTTCCAGAAACCGATGTTGTACTTGGCGGTAGAGGAGGCAAGGAAGTCGTAGACCTCCTTGTTGATGTCATTGGCACGTGCAAGATCCTTCTCGCCTCCAACCTGGGCCTCAATCAAGTGATCACAGTGGACGGTGGTGGGGGTCTGGACGCGGTCCATGCCGGCGGACATGAACTGCAGAATAGCCATCTGGGCGGTGGCATCCTGGCAAGCAACACGGTCGGGGCGCAACTTGAGGTAAGAGACACCACGCTGGATATCCTGGCCGTGAGGGTCGTCAAGGTGAGAGTACAGGACCTTCTCGGAGAAAGTGAGAGGACGCTGCAGACGAGAACGTACGATTGCAAGGTTCTCGGACATCTTCTTGTAGTTGATGTAGTGACCCTGGAATGAGATACGTTAGTCGCAATTGCTTAAGATCGTGCTCCACGCCCAGTTCTCGGGGGCTGGCATGGCATCCACTCACAGTTTCCTGGTTGGTCATCTCGACCTTCTTGTCGAGGGGGTCATTGACAGTAGCGAAGGCCCGGGTTCCGGTCATCTAAAATTTGACAAGTCAGCAGCTGCATGTCTAAGCTGTGTCGAAGCTATCATGCACGCCGGCACATGTGCCACGCCACGGGTGGATAAAGCTTGGCAGTGAGGTCGCTGCTTACAAGACGGAACTTGGGGGCCTAGAGTCGAAGCACACAATTTAGTTTTCCATTCATCAAGAAGACAGACTGGCGCTCAGGTATGTCGCCAGATGGAAATGTTGAGCCGTGGGAAAAAGACGTACCAGCGCACCGGCGCGCGCGAGGCGGGTGGAGATCATGATGGAAGCTCTATGAGATGGGATTGCACATCCAAGAGCTAGTAACCACCTTCACCGAAGTAAGAGAGTGGAGAGTAGAATGAGAGAGGAAAATATTAAAAAGGAGGAAGAGGACGAAAGCTTGGTTTTGAGTGGGAGAAAGATTCTACGGGGACCGAGAGTAGAGCCGTAACCGCCGTTACCACGGCGATACAATACGCTGGTATTGGACTAGACCGCATGCGACGGCAAAAAAGGGCTGGACAATTTGATAGACGCTGCACATGGCGGAGAATTCTCGAGATCTCCTTTTAGATTTACAAGGACTGCTAGAGAGTTGAATGAGAGATATCCACCTAATTTTTTTTCTATCCCTATTCTCTTACTACGTGAAATTCTCAAAATTCAACATCTAAGGCCTTTGTGTTCGCCTTGGGGTGTACCGGGAACGTAACACCGATACAAGGCATGTGCCGGGTATCAGAACTCGGCCACCAATCATGTAGTTTCCAATTACAAGGCCCCCTTCGCCCAGCTCTCCCATTTCGGACCAAAGGGCTACCTTGGGAAGGTCAATGTGTAACTCTCTCGGCCTGTATACCCCGTAGTACCTGTAAAGGTCAGCTTGACGCATAGGAATTTTGGGTTTCAAAAGTATGAATCCAGCCAATGACCAACAAAGTTAACTAGTTCATGATACTACTCTAAACAAATGCAGTGTTATGCTAGTAGAATGCTTTATGAACGGCATTTCCATCGCTCTATCCTGATATCTATACATGTGCTTTATATGCATATATATTGTAGAAAACCTGATGTGATTATTGCACTGAAATTCGGAACAACATACCGCATGCGAACGTCATTAATTACACAGTTTACATACGGTGACGAAATCGGCTGAGCCGACGTGAGCCGAATAGCTATTCCGCACCGTCGCCAAGGTGCCGTGTCTGATCACCAGCCAATCACTGCCCAGGCATTTCAATCGTTGCCCAAGGCCCACAATCGGCGGAATTTTCATCTCAAACACTCGCTCTTGTTTTAGCCTCTTTGACCCGCTTTTCTCACTGTACACTCCGGAAATCGGTACTGACCAAATTTTATTCCCTTGCATCAATTTTGATACCATTGTTCGGCTCCAGCCCCAAGGTATTTCGGCCATCAGTCATAATGGGTGCCCTTAGAAAAGTCAAGAACAAGCGTCGCACTAGGTACCTCTACCCTAGGGCTTGTCCCTATACCTATCGCTGTCTCTGACTCCGGCGCTGATTTCTAACCTAATAACAGAGACTACGATCAAGTCATTGCGGATATTAAGACTCCCCGTCATCTCCAGAAGTATAAGGACTCGAAAGATGTGGAGGACCTGCCTGGTCTAGGCAAGTTCTACTGCACGGAATGCTCCAAATGGTTTGAGAGCGACTACAACCTCAAGGCCCACGCCAAGGGCAAGAACCACAAGCGGAGGTGAGTGTATGCCAACCTCATATCTTCTGTCGCATCGCTGACCAGCTATGTCCTGTATCAGACTCCGTATCCTGCGCGATGAGCCTCACAGCCAATTGCTTGCCGAGCGTGCGGTCGGACTGGGTTTAATTGATAACGGCAAGCGCGAAGAAAACCCCGACGATATGAAGGAGTGAATCGAAGCTTGAACTTCACCTTCTGGGAATAAAAATCAAACCTTTGCTACGTGACCACGATCCTCTTTCCAGCAAATCGACATACAAAAGTTTTCCAGGATCTAGATCCGTTTTGATGTTGAGTTTCCTCATTCCGTTCATGCATATTCGGTGGAGTCTCACGTGAAGCAATTTTTTTTTTATATTGCCGATCCTCGCCGGGTTTTCACTCTTCCGTTTTGCGGGTGACTCGAAATCGCCGACCATCGGCGAAAACGGCATCTGGGGTGAAATTTACCCCCTTCCTAGCAATACTACCGAGTAATTCCAATAGAAATCCCTGAATGCCAACCAGAATCTGACCCAACTGGGCTTTCGGTAACAGTGTACTCCGCAGCTTGGCTTGTGATAGTTTTGATGAGTTCCAGATCTTCTATTTTGTATATTCTAAGCTTCATAGTTTTCCGAGATTGAACAAATTTACAAGCCCGTTATGGGCTCTTGGGTTTCCACTTGTGCGCCCCAGGAATGATTAAAGCTCTTCATCAACCATTCATATGCCGCCCACTTTATTAGATGTTAGCATTTTTAATCCATTGTGATGACAACATGGAGAAAACAGACCTGAACAGCATTCACAATGAACGCTCTTACACTGCAGACTCCAAGGCCACGATAGAATGCCTTGATACCCTCGGCACGATATGTCTCCTTCACAATTTGGAAAGAATTCAGCGTGTGACGCTGTGGCCGTAGTAGAGACTGGCTCTCGATTGTCCCGGGCGAATGATCTGTAATTGTCTGTGCCTGTAGCCGAGTCTTAATCACATCTAATGGAAACACCGAGCCCCAAGTGACAACGCCGGCAATGCCACCGCATAGCAGAATCTTCAAAGCAATCTGGTGTGAACCATCATCATCAGAGTCCAAAAATCGTTTGGAAAGTTCGTAGGACCAGAAACTGCACTACGTCAGCACTAAATCCCTGATTTGATACAATGGGGGTATCCGGGGGTGGCGTGTTAGGTCCATACTAGAATCCATAGCCAATTGAATCTCTGGCGCTAGTAATCCCGCCCCCAAAGTAGAGACCCCTCCAACCGCGGGTTTGGAAGATGTCCTTGGCCACCGCCCACGAGGAGACTTCGGGCCGGCGATCCAGCTGCGCCCGACACTTGATGAACTCCGTTGGAGATGAAATGGACCAGCTAGCCAGTCCGCCTGCGGCACCGGCCAGCCAAATCTTGTAAGCCGAGACCCCCACGGGATTGGTGGGATCCGTCACGGACCCGTCCAATGCTGCTAAGGATCGATTGTAAGCGACAAAAAGAATAGCATTGAGAGCTCCATAGCCTAAGATCGGAGCAGCTGCGCCTATAACGATGGTCAGTAATTGTTGTTGGTATTACCAAACTGATGCAACACATACCTCGCACAAGAGAGCTTGCTCTTTCAAAGCGGCTTGAACGTACCGATGATGCATCTGTATGTGAGCCTCCGGCCTGTAGCCGGACTTTGATGACATCGAGAGGATTGCCAATGATGATCCCAACGGCTCCGCTGATGTAGCCGGCCCAAAAGTCTGCGGCCATGAGGTCTCGGTTCTAAGGACTAGATTAAAGATAACTGACACAAAGGTGAATTATCTGAAGCTCCCCAGATTTCCATGGTGGGGTCACCCCTCACGTGCCGAGGATAGCGAGTGATTGTATTTCTGTAAACTCAGGCTGCTACAATCTAGTTAACTAGCCCCTGAGAAATGAAATAAGATTATTTGACCGCTAGGAAATTATGATTAATCAAAACAAAAACGCATGTTTGTTTTGTAGCGTTAGATATTGTAGGCCCTGACATCCGCTGGGGACCCCAAGATCATGCATCAGCCCAGGAGTTTGTAATTAACTCCCCCCCCCAAAACAGCGCGAATTACAAGGAGTATACATAGCAGGAAAAAATAGGACGCCGATAGCGATAGAATTTCCATATCATCAGACTAATTTGCTCGCAGACCGCGTGAAAACCCATGTATCCAGCTGCAATCTGAGCGAGTCGTCAAGAACCCAAAGATTGGTCAAGTTTTATCTTCGGGAGCAGAGGCACAGCAAAAGAGACATGTTGACGAGAAGGGTGAGCTGGGGAGGTACACAAAACGCACTGCATAAACCACCTCCGTCATCTGATAGAAATACTAAATGTAGGGATACACGAAGGGATAGAGAGGTAGTGAACACGAATCAGCTTTTCTGTTCAACTTCACCAAACCGCTTCGTAATTCGTTCCTTGCATTCTGCCTCTGGCTTCACTTTAGTTTGGAAGAATTCTTCAGCCCCGACAGACCAGTATGGACTGACAGTCTGATCAAACACACACTGAGTGCAATGATTCTCACAGAACATGCGTTGGATATGCTCATTGAATACCCGAAGGAGACCTGTCGGGCTATTGACGGCCTGGACGTACCAAAAGCTACCTCTGTCCCAGGACTTCCGCATGATCTCGGCCTGAGAAACATCCGAAGTCTGTAGAATTTGCTCTTGTTCTTCAAAGAAAGTAATGAATTCAGTCATGACTTCTTGAAAAGTGTCAAAATGTTCTCCGTGTTCAATGTCATCAATTGGTCGACCAGTCAACCAGTAAGGCGGTGTTTGTAACTCAATTGGTAAAGAACATACCCATTCCAAGTCAATTAAGGACGTAATATGCCAATTTTCATCAACAAAGATGCTACTGGCATGGAGATCCGTAAGCGTAAGCACAAATGGCCCATCGCGGTATTGACGGGAGATGAATTGAGGCAAGAGACCACGCATGATGGTTAAAGCTGCGAACGGTTCCTAGCCATCCTTCAGATGATGAATAGCATTTGGCTGATGATGTAGACGGTTGTCGCGGAGCTGCAAAAGATCCAGAATATTTGGTTCCACAGCTTGGTATGTACAATCTCTGGGTATCGTAGGGATGTCTTCGTTTACGAAAGTTAGGGGTCGATTTTTCAACTCAATCATTCCATCGTCATCCAAAGCCAAAGACCCAATTCGAGGTAGTTTTGACACGATTAAGTGAAAGCATTATTTTCGAAAGATCACTGAAAAGAGTCTGGCTTCGTATTTTGTCACTTAGCAAGTGATCTGCCCAGGAATTGGAGAGCATTTGTCCGTTTTTCACAAAACCGATGATAAAGTGTCCATTTTTCAACAGGTTACTGTTCCTCGAACCTATACATGGACAGGTTTAGGGAAACCCAGACCACGATCGCATGGTTTGCATGATGCGCCAATGCCACCGGGAATAAAAACCCATGCACATCTCCTCAGCGAACTCAAGAAACGCAATTAGTCTTCTGAGATAAACAAAGAGTCTATACCCACATACAGTCTGCCCATTAGGAAACGAAAACCCATGGAGGGTAGGAATTGGAACGGAGGGACAAATTTCACGTATCCAAATGTATGTGGCGACTTCGCAGCGCAATTTTTCATCAACATTCCCTGGATTGTTCTCTTCTCCACATTTGTAAGGTAGCGGAATTCGAATAAGAACACACTCTTCTGATGGAAGGTTGGTATAGACTGGAATGCAGACGTTGTAACTCCCACATAACCAATCGGCTGGGCCAGCGACTTGACAATGACTTGCATGGAGATGAAATGAAACCACCCTTTCAATTTCGTTTTTATGGGCAACTAGCTTTGACCAGAACTCCTTCTGTTTCTGCGGGTAGTCTAAGCGGTGCAGGATATTATTGTCGTCAGTCAGGGCGTCTTCTAGGGAAATACTGTTTCGTCTCAGCAAAGGGAGGCTTGTCATGGTGACTTGAGATGGTTCCACTGTCACATTTCAGGCAGCCAGCCCAAGTACTACAGGGACCTTTGAGGGTTATGTATGTTTCTCTTGGAAGGCTGTTGCTCACCAGGGCTGCTATACAAAACACACGTGACTTCCGTTTAAATTTCGCCCCACATTGAGCTCAGACCACCATGCCCCATTGGGCGGCCAGTTATTGTGGGACGCGGCAGTTTGGTGTTTGGGAGCCTCAAGTGAACACGCGACGCGTCGTCAACTCGCACTTGCCTCGCCACAACTTTAGGACCATTGTACAGCAGGAGCTTGGTGTATCTGTTCTGTCTATTCTGGGATCAATGTAAGCTCTTGTGCTAATCACTTTTACGAGTTTCAATGCTGACATGCCTGGAAGGTATCGACAACGTCCGACTGGTGGCGACGACAGCGTCAAGACCCCTTTACAACCGAAATCCGTGAATACTCAGAATTCGATCGACCGACTTGTGAGGCCATTCAAGTGTCCGGGGACTGCAACACCGACTCGGACATCTGAAAAACCATCGAGGAAGAGACGAAAGGTCAACTACGCCAACGCCGATGGAAGCGTGGAGGATGGAGAGGAGAAGCCATACACGAACGACGACCGGCTCGCTTTGGAAACAAGAGAGGCCAACAAATTCCCCGCTTACAAACCAAAGGACAAAGATGTAGCGTTCAGGGCACGCTTCCAGGTTCCGCTCATCAATAAAGCCGTCGGCGAGTACAGTTCCGGTCGGGTGGCTCCGACGTTGGGGATGCGGCGAGGCGCGACATTTGTGGTCAAGCCACTACATGACCCCAGTGGTGAATTTGCGATTGTTTTATACGACCCTACAGTAGATGATGTCGCCGAGGAACCTGCTCCCAAAAGCCTAGAGGCACCGACAGAGGATACACCAAAATCGGATGAGCCAATTATGCATAAGAGTCTAGCAGACATTCTGGGACTCAAAAAGGACGTGGAAGACAGACCAAAGGTGCCTGTCGTGATTGATCCGAGACTGTGCAAAGTGCTTCGGCCACATCAAATCGAGGGTGTGAAAGTATTGCGCCCCGAAATATGCTGTTCCATGGAAGCAAGGCTGACACTGTGGTTACGTATAGTTCCTTTATCGATGTGTTACTGGGCTGGTTGACAAGAACGCAAATGGGTGCATCATGGCAGACGGCATGGGACTTGGTAAAACGGTGAGCTTGGCCAACCAAAATTTCACATCTTGATTCTAACGAACACAGCTTCAATGCATCACATTGATGTGGACACTACTCAAGCAGTCATCAGAGGCCGGAAAAACTACCATTCAAAAATGCGTGATTGCATGTCCGTCAAGTTTGGTTGGTAATTGGGCCAACGAACTGGGTGAGTTTATGCGTCGTGCTCAACTTCCTATCAGCTCGACTAACCATAGCAGTAAAATGGCTTGGCAAGGACGCCACAACACCTTTTGCGATCGATGGAAAGGCCACAAAGGCAGAGTTAATAACCCAAATCAAACAATGGGCCATTGCATCAGGGCGTGGAATCGTCAGGCCAGTTCTTATTGTGTCCTACGAGACACTCCGTATGTATGCGGATACGTTAAATGATACACCGATCGGACTTCTTCTGTGTGACGAAGGTCATCGACTTAAAAACAAGGAAAGCTTGACATGGACTGCTTTGAATCAGCTCAATGTTACTCGCCGAGTGATTCTTTCTGGAACACCTATTCAGAATGATCTGTCTGAATACTTTGCTCTTCTTCACTTCGCAAATCCAAATCTTCTCGGCTCTCAAGCCGAGTTCCGGAAAAGGTTCGAACTACCGATTCTCCGGGGTCGTGATGCTGCAGGTACAGACGAAGAAAAGAAGCTGGGAGATGAACGATTACAGGAGCTCTCGGGAATTGTCAACAAGTTCATTATTCGCCGAACCAATGAGCTACTCTCAAAATACTTGCCCGTCAAGTATGAGCATGTTGTGTTCTGTAACATGTCACAGTTCCAGCGCGGTCTATACAACCATTTCATTAAGAGCCCGGAGATCCAGAGTCTTCTTCGCGGTAAAGGCAGCCAGCCGCTGAAAGCAATTGGTCTTTTGAAAAAGCTTTGCAATCATCCGGATTTACTTGATCTAGCGAACGACCTTCCTGGATGCGAGCACACCTTCCCTGAGGACTATTCACCCCCCGATACCCGAGGTCGCGATAGAGAAATCAAGAGTTGGTACTCTGGCAAGATGATGGTGCTCGACCGTATGCTAGCCCGAATTCGACAAGACACTAACGACAAGATCGTCCTTATCAGCAATTACACTCAGACCCTGGATCTTTTCGAAAAGCTCTGCCGGTCGCGCGGTTACGGCTCCCTGCGCCTCGACGGTACTATGAACATCAAGAAACGCACAAAGCTAGTCGACAAGTTCAATGACCCCGACGGTCAGGAATTTGTGTTCCTCCTGAGTAGCAAAGCAGGTGGATGTGGACTGAATCTAATCGGCGCCAACCGGCTGGTCTTATTTGATCCAGACTGGAACCCAGCCGCTGACCAGCAAGCGCTCGCACGAGTGTGGCGAGACGGACAGAAGAAAGATTGTTTCGTCTACCGGTTCATTGCAACAGGCTCAATTGAAGAGAAGATCTTCCAGCGCCAGTCCCACAAACAGTCCCTTTCATCATGCGTCGTGGACTCCGCGGAAGATGTCGAGCGTCATTTCTCTCTCGACTCCCTGCGAGAACTCTTTCAATTCAAACCAGATACTCGGAGTGACACTCACGACACTTTCAAGTGC